CAGCACCTACTGAGCTAGAAATCATAAAGATTCCAGTAATTACTACCCAAACTGCCTCAGTGAAGGGATTCCAGCTAGATTTTGAACTGGCAAATGACAGTACCCTCATCAGGGGCAAAAAAAATGGGAAGATCTCAGGAGACTACTTATAAACAAACAAAAAGGAGCTTCAAAGCTGGCTGACTCTGTGGGGATATATGTAAAAAAAAAATAGTCTATCCAATTCATACCTAGTAACAGGAACTGCCATTTATGGGCCAAAAATGGATGTGGACCCTCACAACAAGGGATACAGAATCACTACTGGCAAATGATGAACAGAATTCAAGTATACAGAATATAATATCTATCCATCCCCTTTGCAAAAATTATACTTTGGCCACTTCCAAGTTGGCATCAGAAGCAGGAGGAGGAAAAAGAAAAAAATTAAAAACAAGATCCGAGGAATGAAAACTAAAAGAGAAGAGAGGCTGGTGAAGCGAAGCCACTCTATGAAATGCATTTTTAACATGAGGGTTTGGCAACCGACAGAAGTGCGGACCAAGAAATATATGCTTCAATATTTAATATTATGAAAGAATAAAGTTGACACAGCGTTGAACATCAAATTCCAAAACGTCATACCTAGGAGGCTGACTCTGAGGCTAGAAAGTACAGCACTGAGGACGAAAAGAATGAGAAGATCTTACCAAGAGATTATAAACTTATGAAAATCATCCCAAAAATCAGTATACTAGGACACTGGGATACTGATTATAAAGAACAACAGAAAGAAGAATCCTTTAGGAGACCAAAAGCCCATCTCTATGTAAACAGGCTTGCATATGCCACTCTAAAGGCAAATTTAACCTTGCAAGTCACTGACCTTTAACCATGTTTGGATTTTTTCCAGGAAAAGGAGACATTTACTCAGAAGATTCAAGATAGAAAGCCTTTTTTTTTTTTTTCAGGGTGTTCACACTTGTCCAAAAGGATAAGGACAAGCTTCTGAACAAACATTCTACATCATCAGTCTTCTCAGCCTCTACCCATCATTCAAAATACTAAATTCTTCAATCCCTCTTATTACATATTATATTTTCAATTGCCTGAGCTTTCCTGATATCCCCTTAAATACAAAAAGAGAAAAGAAGGAAGGGAAGGAGGCAGGGAATACGGAGTTGGTCTATCTGGTCTCCAGGTAATCTCCAGACAAATCTGGAACATTTAACTTGCACACTGAATTTAGCTCTTCACAGATATTAATACTCTGATTAACACCTATTGGAACAGTACAACACTGAAACAGGATACCTTAGTCTCTGTTCTGGAATGACTTCCTGCAGCATCAGCTTCCCAGCGTCCCTTAGGAACCTTCTGAACTAGAGAGAGTAAGATTGCAAACTCAGATGACTATGTACTATGCTGAAGAAAGACAATCAGATATCCCTTTGAATTATATGCATCTTTGTGTTTATCTATATAGAGAGATTAATTACCTATATTCTGTCTTAATGGATTCGACTATATAAATATATCTGAAGTTATGCTGCACTAACTTACCTACTTTCACTTATACCAAAATGTCTTTCTAAGTGAAAGTTCAATTAAATTAACACAAGGTTTCCTTTCTGTCCAATAGTTTCATGAACTTGAAATTAGAGTTCTCATAGGTATAAAAATTATAGTGTTTCACAAATATATTAAGAATGGCACAATTTTAACAAGTTGTATTAAGAATATTTCTTCTTGGGTAACATTACTGGTTAGAATAGAAGTTTGTAGATAAGAGGTGAAGATCAATATTTATAGTCTATAGATATTGAGAAAGAATTGAGAACTTACTAGATACCAACAGTGGTAATCTATTCCTGGGATAAATATTAAAAATCAGGTATGATCTCTGTCTTCAAAGACTTTATATTACAGTTGGGTTTGGAAAAGATGAAACTATGTTCTTAGTCATTTCATGCTTATCAGATATGAAAGTAACTGCACTTCTATTAGTCTAGACTCTAGGTAAACCTGGACAAATTTCTATTGCTTGCATTTCTAGGAAGGCCTCCAAAAGGCCAGCTAAGGATGCAGTGTAATTATTTTACCCATCTATCCATCTATCTATCTATCTATCTATCTATCTATCTATCTATCTATGTCTCTGTCTACCTAATTGCATGACAGGTTTTGCAACCAGGAGACTTCAAATCAAGTTCTGGATAATCTTAACAACCATTTGACCTCGTGGAACATCTGTTTTCCTATCTGTGTAATGGGACGATTAACAAGTTCCACCATATTGGACTGTTGTGTTGAGCTGAAATAATGTACTTAAGAGTGCTTTGAAACTATAAAGCTATGTTAGTCATTATGACATCAAGCTGCTGTATAATTTGAGGAAAATTAGTATTTTGTTAGAGAAGTGCAGAAAGGACACTTTATTTTATGGTCCATGCCCTCCACTCTGCTCTTTGGAAAGGGCAGATTAAAAGTACCCCAGAATCTGGAGGGCACCCTCTCTGGCTTTTGTGTGGCCTTCTTTCACATATCTGTCCTCATCTTTCTATTTTAGTGACCTTTTTTTGACTCTTATTTGGGAGTTCAATGTGCTATTAAATTTTCTTTCTTGTTATTATAACTTTTACTTGTCTTACACAGTGCCAAAAGGGAGGCCACTCTTAGCCAAGACTTTGCCACTCTTTAGCCAAGATGGTAAATTAAAGCCTTTCATGTCACTAAATTTAAAAAGCAGGGTTGATCATTTAAAAAGTGATCTCAGATTTTGGATATACTTCTCAGCCTTCCACTTGGGCCATTCTTCTCTTTTCATTATACATATACAATATACACATAGACACAGGTATGCCTCTTGTACTCAAAGGTTATGCTCTAAAATAAACCAGTATTAAAGGAAAAACAAAAGTAAATGCTCTTAAAGTTTTTTTTTTCTTGCCCTAGATGTTTATTTGCTGAGGATAATAAATATTTATGCTTGAGGCAGATTTCAATACACATGGTGCAACCACTTAAATTTTAAAATTGAAAACATTCTTAAATAGAAAAAAAAGTTATGTTCACAGAACCTCATTCTGGACAATTTCTAACATAAGATAAGTCTAAACAACATAATTTCTGAAAATAGTATTAGCTCATTTTTGACACTTCTTATTTGAAATTAATGATTTTTAAAAGGCATAAACGTTTACTTGAATCTGTATAGAAAACTATATTTATTTTCCTGAAATCAGGTCAATGTATACATATGCACTGGTTTTTTCATATTAATAGCTGGTCAAATCTTTCATACATCAGAGCATCAGAATAGATGTTTTTCCTAGACAATCTTCAGAAATAACACTTCATTTCTATATTATCTAAAACAAGAAAGTACACAATTTTCACCCAGTTGCAAACATGATTCAAAATTAATTTCTCAATAAAATTGGGGAGTTGTATGTATGTTTGGGGAGTTGTATGGTATTGAATTCTGGTTGTCCAGCCACTAGTCACCCATCATAGCAGAATGGTGTCTTGCTCCCCAAACCATCAGGGAAGGCCCAAGAAACTTATGGTGGGATAGAATGAGTGTTAAAGGTGATAGGAGGAAACTTATAAACAAAACAGAGTTAAAACAGAATTCTGAGTTCCAGACTGACAAGTTTCTACTAAGCTACTCCAAGTTTTGCATAAACCATCTCCAGTAAGCGCGAACGAAGAAAGATTTGATAACATGCACAGAACACACATACGCTCCTTGTCAGAGCAATGTGTCATCAACAGTACAAATTAACAAGGGAATTTCCAGCATTTTCCCTCACTGTGTGCACTTCTCCTTCCTTCAGGACCAAGAAAGGTTGAATAAGGTTTACCTTGCTATGAAAGGGAAAGAAATCGCAGTCACATACCGACCAAGCCCGCACAGAATCCGCAGAAGCAGAGGTACTTTGGGTACTTTGCCCACTCCCTTCCTCTTTGCTTTGCCAAAGCCCACACCTCTAGAGATGGGACAGAACGTGCCTTCAGCCTACAAACAACTCTACGAAGCCGGCCCCAACAACCCTCGTAACCCTCCTCCCGAAGTTAGTCGTGAGTCCACAATGAATTCCGGTCACCTCAACCTCAACTCCGCAGGGCCAGGGACCTGGAGCCCGCCCCGGGAGTCCCGGGACGCTGCGCTCACGTGGTCGCCGGCCGCGGCACGTGCGGCTCCGACCTGAGGCGGCTGGAGTGAAGCACCGCCCCGAGCGGGAGGAGAGACCTGCAGAGGCGCTGGACGCGTGGGGAAGAGGGGAAAGACCCGGGGCGCTCCCGGACGCGCGAGGAGAAGCTGAGCTTCAGGCAGTGCAGGTCAAACTGCAATTCCCAGGGGTGTACACAGGAAGGAAGGCGCAAGTTTGAATGGGTAACAACTTGGACTTTTTTTTTTTTAAGGTTTATTTTAAATGGGCAAATGCATTTGAATATCATCTAGCGTGAGAGCGTCCAAGGTCGTCACAATCCCCTTCTCGCTTGGATCCCACATTTGAAATCCCTGGCAAAAAAGGAAGCAGAGGTGTCCCGAGGTAGCAATTCCATCCCCACCCATCTTTTGGGGAACTCTAACCAACTCGGTCTCAGGCGAACACTGGGGAACCGCACCCTGGAACAAAGAGGAGGTGTAGTCCTCTCCAGATGCATATAGTCCGCTGAGTGCTGGTATTTAAAACCCTCGGCAGGCCAGCTGTGTTTACGGTTTGTTTCGTTTTGCTGGGGGAGGGGAAGGGAATCCGAACTCTGGACGTTTTTCCCAAACTGGGAGCCGGGAGCTTGGCATTCGATCCCACTAGCACAGAACTCCAGTCAACTCGGGCCGTGGCGACTGTCACTTGGGGGGTGGGGAGGGGAAGGAAAGGAGGGCAAGAGACGGAGCGACGGAGGGGCTGGCGAGAGAGGGAAGGAAACAGGTGAGCTCCCACCACCACCCCTCGGAAATCCAGCGCGGCGGCCCCCCGCACGCCACCGTCCCGACCTGGAGAGGCACTTACCGGCTTTACAAGGGTCCTTGTAATCTATCGTCTCCGCTTTATCCTCTTCGTTCCCATCAAAAGTGTAATCATAATCGAGGCCAGCGCAGACCCAAAGCTCCCCGTAGAAAACAATCCCCGAGGCCACCAGCCACACGAGCATCCTCGGGGGAAGCGTTTGCAACCCCATCCTCCTCCCCTGGAGGAAAAGGAAGGGACGCGACCCGGAGGTGAGGCGCCCGCGGTCCGCGCTGATGTGCGGTGCGAGGGGAACCGGTGCTCCTCTCCCTACCGGGAGGCTCCTCGGCGACACTGGGGTGTTCAGGTGTCCGGAGACATACGGATGCCGTCGGGACAGTAGAGAGGGCAAGAAGTGCCTGTTACCCCCAGTTGCAGGGAGAAGTTGGCTAGGGGCCCGCGGGTGGGCGGAGGGCAGGTAAGGAGCTCGGCTCCCGGAGACGGGGAGGGGCAGCTGCGGGCAAACTCGGCTCTGGCGGAGCGGGCGCTCGCTGCCTGCCAGGTCGTCCTTCTGGCGGCCGAACTTCCCGCGGCCGCGGCTGGGCGAGCGGCGCCCCGCGGGCTCAGCTGCCACCGAAGCTTGGGCTCCCGCGCCGCGCCCCCGCCGCTGCCAGGACCCCGCGGTAGAGCCCGAGCTGCCGCCGCCGCCGCCGTCGCTCGGGGAAGATGAATCCGGTCTGCACATCAGCACATCTGAACTGAAAGGGGAGACCGAGGAAGGGGGTGGGGGGCAGGCATTTCTACGCCGCGAGACCTTAAAAGCCTGCAGAAGCCAGCAAAGCAACTGGCTGAAAAGAGCAAAAGTGTGAGGATTTGGGGATGCACCGTTTGCCTCCCCCCCCGCCCGGCTGTCTTTTTACCCTCTTCCTAACTTGAAAAAAAAAAAAAAATCTTCGCAGCATTTAACCCAATCACTTGCATCCTGCTTACTTATTCATACAATCAGGGTCAGGATCCGGGCCACAGCCTCCTCTCTGACTTCTTTTGATAGCCTTATACAAACAAACAGACACGAGCGCGCTGACAATCCATTTATATTTTACTAAAGATAAAAATGAATATATTATGTATCTGCGTCCGCGAACAACAATTAATAGATGATGTACGTGTCAGCCAAGAGTGCCAGACCGGGGGTGGCGCGAAGAATCGTGATAACTTAACTGCAAACCTCTACTTCCCCTCCCCCCCAAATAAACAGCGGGTGTGTGTTTCTTTCCTCTGCTGCGGTTTAACCTTAGTGCAGCCCGGGAATGGAGGAAAAGTGTCTGAGCCTTCGCGACTTGGGTAAGGAAGGAGACTGCTGTAAAAGTCCCCCAACCAACAAAGTTTTGCTAAGAACTAAGATCTTCGGATCTGCAATTAAAAAAAAAAAAAAATCCAAAATCAAGTTACAGATTGCAGCAGCAGGAAACGCTAAGACCTTGCTGATGGGCTGGCGCTATGGCTCACGTGGGCGCAGGAAGGGAAGTTGGAAGGAATACTCGGGAAGCAAATTTTCTGTGACAGTTCTGGCGCCCATACCCGGAGTTGCTCAGTATCCTTCGGCTTCAGTTGTTTTACTTCTGAGGAGAGTGTGTAAAACCTGGCAGCAGGATCAGCGAGGTAAACCACATGTCAGCCTAGCAGACGCAAGACAAACACAGGTTGTGGGAAATTGGGGAGGAAAAAAAATCAGAGGAAATCTCTGCAAAACCCCTGTTGTGAGCAATTCAGTGGTTTCCCCACATCTGCAAGTAGTTTCCAAAATAGGTGAGAGGACTTCTCCTCCCCCAGACTGGTGATTGGGAGCCTTGCCTTTTCCAACTAAATCTTGAACTGTCACTTTAGCAAGGACTTGTAAAAAATCTTCTCTTGCCTTTACATCTTTATTTAACATTTAAATGTCCCCCTTTTCCAAGTTACCATCAATATACAGTGTTATCTAGAGGAAAATGTGAAAGTAACTACCCTCCCACCCACACACATACTTTTGACAGGTAAGCCCAGTTAGGTTAGGGTATTTGACCAGGTTTTATGGATGTTAAAGAAAAATTGGAGGCTAAACTTGAAGTATCATCTATTTCCCACTTAAACTAAGACTAAAAGGATGGGAGGACTAGGTAGAACTGATTTGATATTCCTGGCGAAACTGGGTCTTTCTCAGAGGCCAATGCAGTAATGGAGACTTCCTTCTGTAGATCTCAAACTTTTAACCCCAGGTCACAGAACAGAGAGCAGATCTGAAAAGAACATGTTCAATAAGTAGGTAGAGGTATTTGGTTTTGAAATCTCTTGCTGAGTCATTCTCAAATTCTTTTACCCATCCAAAAAAAAGGTTTGCATAATTAATAATGGTGTTGCTCTCGTGCAGGGCCAAACAAGAATGTATTGTGCTTAGCCCATCTGAAAGCCCAGAAAATGCAACTTTCCTTTAGAGGATCCTTGCTGTTGAGCTGCTGAAACTGTCTCTACTTGCTATCCCCAAACCTTGAAAATGTCCCTTGTTAATCTAAATGACTACAAATATCTCCTTAGGCTATTTAACCATAGGTAAGTTGGCAAGAGTTTGTACCTGGAGATTACCTAAAACATCACTTACTTTGCAGGAATTAGTATATTCATTCATTTTTCCTGAAAAAAAAAAAAGTAACATATAGGGACATCTGCCTCATTATATAATGGTGCCTATTATGGATTCCTTACAGAATTTATCATTGCTTAGTTTCACAATCTTATAAATTTACATTCTAGATTTAGAATGACTGACATAGTAAAACCTCAAACCAAAATATAGAAATGTTTCTTTATGGCTAAAATAGCTGTGGAGAATAGTTATTTACACCACAATATCCTAGGCCTCAATCCCTGATTTAATTATATTACTTTAAAATATTTATTAAATCTAACTCTACAGTAATAAAATAACTACTTTTTAAATTTTATTACTATACTTGCTATGATTGCAAACTAACAAAAGATTTTGCCCTGTCCGTTAAAAAAACATAAATTTGCAAGAATTTGAAGAAAACAGAAAATAAGAATATGTATGTGAGAAAAGAGTTGAATGCTCAGAATATAGCCACAAACATGTGCAGTATGTGAATACAATCTCCTCAGGAAGATAAAAAGAGGTGATTGATTCCTTTAGTAAGACATGTGCTGAAGTAACTTTGGCTTCTAGCTGGCAACTGCCCCTGACCACCATCACTACCTGCAGCAGGACCCCAACAGCCCCCAGCAATCTTAGGGAATAAAGTCACCCAAGAGAGCTGAAGCAAGAGGTAACTCTATGCCAATTAGCATATACTGTTTTCTATCACAGTAATTAAAATAAACTTGCCCTGTGGATAACATGAATTAAAAATGTGTATTTTGCGGGCGCTTACGTGGCATAGTGGTTAAGTGTCTGACTCTTGGTTTTGGCTCAGGTCAGGATCTCAGGGTCCTGAGCTGGAGCCCTGGGTCCAACTCCGCACTCAGGCAGAGTCAGCTTGAGATTCTCTCTCCCTCTCCCTCCCTCTGTCCCTTCCCCCCACCCTGGGATCTCTCCCTCTCCTACCTCCCTCCCCCATGCCTCTCCCTCTCTTTCCCTCTGCCCTTCCCCCATGCTCTCCCCCTTTCTCTCCCCCTCTCTCTCTGCCTCTACCCCTCTCTCCCTCTCTCCCACTCTCTCCCTCTGCCACTCCCACTTATGCTCTCTCTCTCTCTCAAATAAATAAAAACAGATTTATTTATTTGTTTGGGAGAGAGAGCTCATGCAGGAGCACAAGCAGGGGGAGGGGCAGAGGGAGAAGCAGGCTCCCTACTGAGCAGGGAGCCAGATGAGGGGCTCAATCCCAGGACCTGGGATCATGACCTGAGCCAAAGGCAGACGCCTAACCAACTGAGCCACCCAGGTGCCCCACTTTTAAATAAATAAATCTTTAAAAAGAAAAAAGAAATGTCTATTATCTAGCCATTTTGTGAAAAGCTAGTTGTTATTGTTTTTTGTTATGAAACCAAGTAATACGTGAATATACCCTTCTCATGTCCCTTGTTTAAAAAAAGATAATTCAGGGTGCCTGGCTGGCTCAGATGGTTAAGCGTCTGCCTTCGGCTCAGGTCATGATCCCAGGGTCCTGGGATCGAGTCCCACATTGGGATCCCTGCTCCTTGGGAGCCTGCTTCTCCCTCTGCCTCTTTCTCTCTCTCTCTGTCTCTCATGAATAAATAAATAAAATCTTTAAAAAATAAAATAAAAAAGATAATTCAGATGAGAATGGAATAAAATGTGTTTCCCTCTCTCTCTTGGTCTTACTCCCCTTGTCTGAAGTAGAAACTATTAACCTGTTTTAACCAAATAGTATATACAGAGAGACTGACTCCTATGAAATTGCCTTATCTGCAGATTAAAAACAGCAAACACTAGCAATTTCATATGGTTCAAACTATTATTTCAAGGCTTAAAAAAATCCTGCTTTGTACTAATGCTACTGTTCTTTTGAATTAAATTATATGCATCTCAGTTAAATATTTTTAAATGAGAAGATGATTCTCTGGACCTAAATGGCCTCTGACTTCCACATTTTTAAATCTCACATTCTATGATTTTTTGATATCACATTATTTCATATGTCACTATGGCAGGATGCTCCCAACTCTTGGTAATTAGGATGACGCTACATTCAATCAAAATCTGTCTGTATTGCTGTTTCCTAAGTAACAAATATAGTTTCAGAGACAGAATGAAAAAATGAACAGAAAGCAGTATTTGCTTCACAATGGAAGTGTTACACAAGGTGTTTATTTGTTTGTTAAGAAAAAGACATACACCTCCCCCAGGAAATGAAAAAAAAAAAAAGAAAGAAATAAAGAACCTTCCTCCTGCAGTGGATTCTGGTCTGAGTAGAGCCCACTGACCTAGGAGTCTCTGGTTATTCCTTGGTACTTGCTAGTTTGCTGTAATACTTTCTTCTCTAGCATATCCTCGCTGTGGGGGTTGGAGATCCTCTTTGTTTTTATGGCTTTTAGCTACTCCAGACCTTTTAACTCTCCCTTTCACCCCATTCTTATGTGACCATCAACAGCACACTTATGCTGTATCTTACTTTCTTTCCTCTTAGGGTCTCTCTCTCTCTCTCTCTCTCTCTCTCAGCCCTGAGCAAATCAACATAGCATCTCTTAATTCTACGTCAGTGTCCCAAGGTGTGGTAAAACCCTGATACCACATGAGATCATTTTAGGTAACATAGTGATGA